GCAATGCAATAGGCTCTTAAAGGTGGAAAAAATATTTTTTTCCTGTTTGTCCTAAAAATCCCAAAAAATTCATAGACACTAATTCAGACCCAAAACGGAAGAATTTGATGTCAGATTTGATAGATAACTCTCCCTGTAGATTTTCAAAATCAGCGGTTCGAGCAATGCAATAGGCTCATATAGGTGGAAAAATTATTTTTTTCCTGATTGCCCTAAAAATCCCAAAAAATTCATAGACACTAATTCAGACCCATAAAGAAAGAATTTGATGTCAGATCTGATAGATAACTCTTCCTGTAGATTTTCAAAATCAGCGGTTCGAGCAATGCAATAGGCTCATAAAGGTGGAAAAAATATTTTCTTCCTGTTTGCCCTAAAAATCCCAAAAAATTCGTAGACACTAATTGAGACCCAAAACGAAAGAATTTGATGTCAGATTTGATAGATAACTCTCCCTGTGGATTTTCAAAATCAGCGGTTCGAGCAATGCAAAAGGCTCATATAGGTGGAAAAAATATTTTTTTCCTGTTTGCCCTAAAAATCCCAAAAAATTCATAGACACTTATTCAGACCCAAAACGGAAGAATTTGATGTCAAATTCGATAGATAACTCTCCCTGTAGATTTTCAAAATCAGCGGTTCGAGCAATGCAATAGGCTCATATAGGTGGAAAAAATATTTTTTTCCTGTTTGTCCTAAAAATCGCAAAAAATTCATAGACACTAATTCAGACCCATAATGAAAGAATTTGATGTCAGATTTGATAGATAACTCTCCTTGTAGATTTTCAAAATCAGCGGTTCGAGCAATGCAATAGGCTCATATAGGTGGAATAATTATTTTTTTTCTGTATGCCCTAAAAATCCCAAAAAGTTCATAGACACTTATTCAGACCCAAAACGAAAGAATTTGATGTCAGATTTGATAGATAACTCTCCCTGTAGATTTTCAAAATCAGCGGTTCGAGCAATGCAATAGGCTCATATAGGTGAAAAAAATATTTCTTTCCTGTTTGTCCTAAAATTCCCAAAAAATCATAGACACTAATTCA